GTTGCTGAAAATATCCCGAGCGGCACAAGGTGGAGGGTGGTCTCCATATGGAATCCATATGAAAGCCACCTCCACTATGTGGAAAGTAAATGGAGGCTTATTTTTTCATCCTTCATATTGATTCCATTTGGATTCCATATGAACTCCGCTTTTTCTTAAATCAAATACCGAAAAACTCGTGCTTTTGAATTTTTAAAAGACAGAGGTCAGATCTTACTGTAATGGATTGAAATATTGTCGAAAAGCTTTACTGAATCATATTGCTTCATTTCAAGCTTTAAAAAAGCAAAAAAGGATAATTTTTTGTGATTTTGTATGAAATTACATACTTCACAAGCGCATGCAGAAATCACTATTATATGGGGTCGTTTAATTTGTATGAAAATTTTTAATAATTTCTTATGTTTCTCACGCGTGTGATCGAGACTTAGAAATTGCTGTGGTTGCGACTTAATTAAATTAAGTTGTAAATTTTTCAACAGTGTTAGTGTACTTTAATTAAGTCCACTAATACAGCTACAAATCTTGATATAAAAATTGCGAAACATAGAAAAACACGTGGAAAATCGTACCAAAAATCCTTTGAAAACTACTTCCATTAAACCTCCGTTTGACTACCACAAATGGATCCTCCATCCTCCATCAAAACCTCTCAAATGACTTCCATTTGGTGTTAATAAATGCACGTCCCACGGAGGATTTTCGGAGCTTTGGCTCCGTCAAAGTTCCATGATAGTAAGGTTTTCGGAAGATTTTCAAATGGAGGGTGGAACATGGAGGCTCCGTATAGCTTCCATATGGAAGGCAAATGGAGCCTTTGTGCCGCTCGGGTATGGAAGTAGATGAAGAAGAGAATAATGGGGTTTTGCAATAATTTCTCATAACACTTCAACTTTCCGTAATAAATGAAGGAAAATTTATATTTAATAAGAAATGAAAAGAAGATTCAGAAAGTTTATTCAGAAATTGAGTAGATTGTAAGGAGAACTAAGTGCTTGAATGAAAGAGAATTTAATAGTTGAAGCTTAAGCTTTAAAAAGGCTACACGGTAAACATATCTGATTCTGGTCGGTATGAGATAAGAAGCGAATATTGAAGAATCTGTTGTGGCTGGTTTCTGATTTTATTTGTATTGAATTAAAGTCATTCAGAGTTTCTGAAATCTCGGATTTTTGAATTAGAATTGTCGGGATCAATTGTCATTGACATTAAGGGTTGAAATAGAATTCCAATAAAATGCAACATATTAAAACTTTCTGGTTCGATTCAAGAAAATTCATAATTAAATTTCTCTTAATTTTACAATTTTGCTTAAACTTTTCCAATTTAAATTCCAAACGAGAAATTGTTGTTAATCCATTTTAATCCCACTCTCCTCCAAATTGGTCTCATTTACTAACAAAATACTTGACTCCCATCTCCATTAGCAACAACTCTAAGTTCATGATCATCTTGGAAACTTCCACTTTAAACTTATTATTACTTCTATTCACTTTATGTCATTTACAATGACAGTAAAGTAAATTAAATCTCAAAACGAGATGAGAAAGATGTGAATCAATCACATTTGAAAATGAACAAGAAGGAAAGAAAAGACTATGAAATTGAACATACAATCCATCAAGCAATTAGTTTACATTTTCTCTACTCTCGAGTTCTTTAATTGAATTTTTGGAATTGAATGTTATTTGAGAAACATGGAATTTATTGCTATGGAAACTCAATGTTTTGCTAAAGTCTGTGTGCCTATAGAGCTGGTCAGCTTATTAAAAACATATTTATTCAGTAAAATTCATTTTCCGTATTTTAAAGATTTATTTTTCTGAAATTGGAATATATTTGAATATATTCTATTTTATTTCGGAGTGAAATATGAGTTGGTGGAGCATAAAATGAACAGCAATGAATAAATTAAGTAAGGTTCCTTACAGGCAAATTTTGTCGGGTTTTAGGAAGCTTTTTGATAATTCTATAGAAAATCTAAGGCTTATTGGAGTGAGTTTACTAAGCTACAAATTCTAGTTAACTTCAAGATCCACTTTCAAGTCAATTCTTTGAGTTTTGAACTTTTCAAACTTATTTCAAGGCTTTTACTTCGTTGCTTTATAATGACATGGAGAGTCACACAACTTTTGACCACTTCTTAACATGATAGACATCAAAAATGAGCAACTTATTTAAAAGTACATTAATTGAAACCAGAAAAACTTTTTAATTATGTCAATAATCTGGCAAAATCCTCTTAAAACGTCACAGAGAATTTTTTTCTGTTTTCCTTCCGTAACTACATACAAAGTTTCATCTCCGCAGGCAAAACATCATAATGAATAGCGCTTTATTTTCAAAAGCAATTTTCTCACAACATGAAGAACTAAACATTGATGATTTTAATGTAAATATGTATGGAAACATATGTCGTGTAAGTTGTTCTTTTTGTTATATGCTAGATTGTCGTATTTAGTAGTTCAAAAAGAATGGAATATAATTATAATGTAAGCACAAAGGTAGCTAATGTGTATAGTCATATTAGCACATGCAATATTGTTGCTTCTGTAAATTGCATTAAGAATGTTAGAATTTGCATTGTTTTGTGTGATTTAAGCGCACTATTTGATTTTAACCTAAATCCATGGCATCTTTTAGAACTTTTAAATCTCATCATTGTCGCAGCAAAATATTTTCACAATTTTCAAACAAAATAAGAGCAAATTTGCAACTAAATTCAAAAATTATTCATCACATCCTCATCTCATCAAGCAAGAACACAATCTCAATCTCATCTAATTCAACCCTCCATAAATGCAAACTCATAACCCCAAAAAACCTAAAACAAATAAAAATGTCCTTCACCCCAATAACACAACAAAAAATATTCTACACATCTATTTAGATATCTTTCATCTGTTTACTTGATGACAAATTAGAAAACATACAGTCTCTATTTCACTGTTTCCATGACTAATTTCCATCATAGCTGATACAATATGAGAGATAACAAAAAGTCAGAAAAAGCCATAGCAAAATATGTGCGAGAACATAATAATTTTTTGCTACTTCGCTGACACGATAATGGTTGACTGGCACGAGATATGTATGCTTCCCCTGAAATTATTTTCTGTCTCTCTTATTGTGTATTGTGGATATTGTGATACATTTCTATTATTTGTTGCCATATTAACTCGAAAAAAAAAGATTTTTTTTGGTGAGAAAAGTTGAATTTAATCAACTACAATTGAGGAGATATAAATTATTCAATTTAAAGGAATTGAGAATGGATATTGAGGAATTAATTTAAAGTGATTTTTTTTTTCATTTTTTGAGATCCAGTGGTTCAAAACTAGCTCAGATAGATCATCTGCCTTAACTTTACTCGTCATTAGCACTCAAACAAGATGAATGTCATTGTCAAAACAGTTCTGTTATGGCAAAGTCTCTTAGTTCTCTTACTGATCTCAAAAATACAGGAATATTTTAATTTTTGACTTGAATTAATTTTGTTTTCTCATTGAATAATTTAAATTATGTGCTATCAAGTTGTCAATAAGGCAATGAGTTCCAAAAGCTATTGTAAACACACTCCAATCCCTTTTTGATCCACCTACAGACAATTAAACCAACAGTAAAATTAATTAAATTGTCCCTCAAAACTCAAGACATTCAGCTATAAGCCAAATTTTCAGGCAACATTCACTTTAAAAGATAAACAAATTCAAAGCATTTTCCATCACGAAAATGAAACAGACTGAGGATAATATTTATGCAAATATTTGCAATATTATGACAGAAGAAAATATCTATCAACAAACAATGGAATTTTCATCAACATAAATGTGGCTTGGCTTGAAATAAATAAATCTTGTCATCATCCTGTGAATGGAATTTTATGGGATATAAATTGAAAGCTTTTCAATGCAGCATAAATTTGCTCTTATTGTTTCTTCCGTATTAGTGAAATGTATCGAAAATTTGATTATAAATCACAAGATAGATACGTATGTCCAGGAACAACCGCTTAGCAATTCTAATTTTTGGTTATGTATTACATGATTCTTATCGATTACTAAATTTGAACGACATTTTCTAGATTTTCTCAACGTTTTAGTAAGCCTTATTAACTTGTGTTAGAAACGAGAAGAAGAATTGCCATTTTCAAGATCAGTGACTATGAATGAAAGTGGGTTCGTTGTGCTTTTGGCACAAGATGATCCAAATATGTGAAATATCCATGACAATGCAGAATCTCTTCTTATTTATTCAATAAATCATAGATTCGGTTGGGGCAACACGTTGCTATGGAGTGGTTTTTGGGTCAGAAAACTGTGTCTTATCATCCTTAATCTTAGATTGAGTGATTAAGGTTGGTCAATGGTTGAACAGGTTCTATGACTCTAACATGCTATTAGTTTTAAATTTCAGCGAATTTAATGATTTTTTAACAAAACATCTACAGCTAAATCCAGCATAACCAACCATTCACAAAAATCATTTCCAATTTCAGCTGCTTTCAATCAAAATCAGATGTTCACAAACAAAATATTCAACATTTTCATAACCAAATAGCTTCTCTCAACAAGATAAATGCTGCCGCATGCTGATAAATTCATCCAAACTCAAAATAGAGTTTCCCACATTAAAATAATAATTTTCATGGCTTATAAAGAACCCAAGTCGAGATAATCATCAGTTCTAAAAAACACAACTAGAGTGTGAGGAGTCACGAGATGAGCACATAAAAATAAAAATTAGTTCACATCACACACATAAATTCAACTCAATCAACGATAGCTAGAGGTTGCTCTATTGAATTGGCAATGTTTGTGTCAAAGGGGAAGGAACTTGTGGTGTTTGTGGTTGGATTGAAAGCATTTTTGAAAATTAAATTAAGTTTAGGCTCAATTTTATAAATTTCCTTCGAAACTCCAATCAGTTCAATCCCCTTGACATCCATTATTGTCTTTGTGATGAATGGAAATGACAGCTTTCGAAACTTTTCGGCTTACCTTTTTTCCAACAACGTTAAAGGCTCGAGTGGCGGTGGTGTTGGTCCGGGTGGCATTGAGTCTGTCGGTGAAGAGTCTCGATTATCATCATCAATTTTACAGTCGATTGCATTTATACTGTCAATTGAGTCGCTGTCCATTTGCCTTTGTCTCTCGTCTATGTGAAATTCGAGCTTTCTTGGTGGTGACTTTGCCTGTTGATGACTTTTTGGCGATGATTTATGAGAGTGTAGCGACTTTTGACTTAATGAAGATATTGATGGAGATTTCTTTGATGAATTTGACTTTTTTGATGGTGGTGACTTTGCAGATGCTTGTGATCTTACCGATGATGGTGATTTAATAGATTTTGGTGATATTGGAGCATCAAAATCAGTCTCTAAGGGCTTTGGAGGTGGAGAAATAGTTTTTAATGGCGATAATGATGGTGGTATGATTTGAGATATATTAATATTAGATTCATCTATGATATATTCATTCGATGAGATTGAAGATGATGATGACGATGGTGTCTTGCTTTTTAATGGAATAACAGTGACAGTTGTAATTGTCTCATCTTCATCTTCATCAATTTGTAGACTAGAAGATTTTGGCAGTATAAATTGTGCAGGAGGAGGTAAAGGAAGTGAATCTTGTTCGGACTCTTCCTCTAAATTTGACTCTGAAAATTCATTGGGTGGTGGAGGTGGCGGATCATCAGGGATTGTTACCTCAAAAGATTGTTCCTCTACTTCAATTTTTTCGTTTTCGTCTTTTACTTCCGCTACATTTACATCATCATTATTCTCATCCTCAATGCTTTGTTGTTGCTTATAGACATTTACATCCGATTCAGGATGTTGTTCATGTTCAAAAGTCACTGGATGTGGAACTTCTTTACCAAAATCTTCCGGTTCATACAATTCTGGCTCATTAATTTCAATCGGAAGAATAATTGGTGGTTCTTCGGGCGCTGGATATAATGGCGGTGATGGAATAGGTGCTTGAGGTGCAGTAACTTCCTCAATATCTGAATCTATACCTTGAGCGAATCCCATATAAAATGAATCACGCGAATCACTCGACCCACGTCGCAATTTAACACTCAAATCCGGTGAACTATCCATATTTATATTCACTAGCTGACTTGTCTACTTATTTCACTCGTTTATTTTTATATCTTTGAACACTTAATGGAATTACTTTAAATCCTATTCCTTAACGTTTCATCTTTCACTTCACAAAAATATCCAAGGAGGGTTTTTAAAAAATTTTCATCACGTTCTGCACTTTCGTTAGCCTTGCAGGCAAATTTAATCTGATCTAGCAAACACAAAAAAAAGATTCTCTAAAGCAAAGAGAGAACAAGCTTCACATGAACAAAAAAATAAATAAATATTTAGTGACACACTGATTTCATTTCTCCATACATACTCTCTATGCTTGCAAATAAATGGCGGAAGTTTTTAATTTTCGGTAGGTAAGTAAAGCCAGTATAGAGAGCCCGGGCTGATTGGGGGGAGGAGATGAAATTGAAATGAAAAAAATATTTCAATTCTTTTCGCTTCCACAAGCGATGTATAAGCACAATAAATTCCCCGGGCTGAGTAGTCTGAATGGGATGCTTAATAGTTTTTTATGTTCATTGCACTTAAATTTTCCTACAAATTCAATTCTTTTTTTTCACTTCTCACTTAATTAATTAATTCCATACGTGTACGGATACATTAGATGTCTGTCGATAATCCGTGACTTTCATGCACTCAACTAATCTGCTTACATCCACTCTATTCTATTCGTGAATTTTGTTATGTTTACGATATTATAGCGATGACATTACGGCACTTCCGTTATTCTTTTCTATTTTTTTCTTATTTTTATTAATTTTCTTTTTCGCCCACGAAATGTCAAGAAAACTCGTCACGAAAATCCACGACCGAAGAGAATTTCTTTTTTTCCTTGTCTAATATTTATACCGAAAAATATTAATCTACATGAAATGCGCAAACAATGTTCTTGCTAGAACGACCAAAACATGAATGAGAGTGGAAAGAAGGAAAACATTTATTTTCTCTATAGTTTCTCCGACGTTTTTTGTGCTGTATAAAGCATGGTACCAGCATAATATATATCGTTGTGTATTATATAGGAACAAGGCGTGAATGCGTTTTTGGATATGCCTTGGAATACGCTTCAATTTTTCCATAAACATTCTCTCTCTCTCAAAACAAAATCATTTTCTCTCTCGCAGCAGCAAGGAATTTTTACAATTTCTTGTTGGATGTAGTCGGTACATTAATGGTTTGATGGCGTCACAGAGATGCAGTAAGTAGAATAGGAGGCTGTAGTGGTCGAAACGAATTTCAATCTTTGGGGTCTAGATCTTCAACAACCCCCCCCCCCCTACATCTACCCATATATCGTTAGACGAAAAACATTGCAGTGCTATCTAATGGAAGAGATGTAAAAACATTCCATAAAAGGGGTTTAAAAATAAATTGAATTATCCTGGCGCTTTAAAAGATTTACTGAGCAGAGATCAAACCGCGTTTGATGGTCGCAAGGGGAGAAAAAGGATTCTATCCAAATGAGTTTTTAATGCTTGAAGAATTTATTAAATTATTCTTTGCGTTCGCTTCCAAAAAAAAAGAGTAACGTAAATTAATTCAATTATTTCTGTATCTTTCGAGACGGCAGTTGCTCATATTAACATTCAGCATCAGTTGTCATGACAACATTTTTTCTTTATTTCGTGTTGCTTCCTTCACATTCCAAATGAGAGACAAATTTTCCATTCTCTCACTCGATTTGACTGCAATGGAATTTGTACGCACTTTTGAAATCATGTCTTGTTATTGAATGTTACTATGAATGAAAAATACGCAAACATGTTTGTGGAAAATCAGAATAAGAAACATATTTTTAGCGTAATTTTGCAGAATGAATGGCTTTTTGTCGCCAATTTTCCTGGATTTTCTTTGCTGACATTGATGAAATATGATACTTTGCCTAATTTAGTCATTTTTTTGTTTGACGGATCATTGTCTGCTGAATGATTTAATGATGTAAATTATTAAGGCACGAGTTGCAAATTTATTTATATTGTGCTGAATTTTGATGAAGTTTTTGTTATTCCTTCCTGATTATACTGAATTTTTTGTTGCTTTTGCTTACTTGATGCGGTAATAAAATAAATATTTGTGAGTTAAGCATAATTGCTGATTGCTTTATAGGTTAGTCCTTACTTACTGTTTACCACCTTAGTGAATTACGATTTCCTAGACGATCCCTAACTCTTTAAAAAACATGATAAACCCCATAAGGTTCTGTGCCACCAGCAAGTGTATCAACCTAATAAATATGCGCTTCAAAAGCACTTCCATTAAATAACTTCCCTCCTCTCACGTTGTTTACAGTCACAAATCTATCCAAAATAAAGAAGAACCGGATTTTATTGCGTCATTTAGACAAAGAAGCAAGAGAAACAACAAAAAATAGACTAAACTGATATAGAATAAAAAAAAGTTTTTCATGACAAAGCAATTGACAGAGGGGAAGAATGAGTGACGAAATAATATTTCCTCTTCATTGTCTCAGAACTGAGTGCCTTTTAACATCTTTTACATCATTGCTATCCATTATGTCAATAAAATTCCCCCAAAAAAGCAATTCATGCTGTACAAGATAGAAAAATATGTTTGAGACGTCATTAAATTTTTCATGTCAGTGGATTTTATCCAAGACGGAGATTCTTGTTATCGAAATCACCCAAACGTCGTGGAGTTAATGAAATTATTCGTCATGAAATATATAAGCCATGAAAATCTCATTTTCTAGGCTGAAAATCTGTCGCGGGTAGAAAAGGAAAAGAATTTTTTCAATCTCCGTGATGTACAAAAAAAATGCAATAAAATTCAATTCCCTTAACACCTAAGGTGAGACGAGATAAATTACGATGCTGCATCATGCAAATTGCGTTGCTTCCTCCTCATTTGATCGAATAAAGAAAAAAAGAACATGTTTTAAGATTAAGAATACATTTAGAATGGGTTTTGGTTGATGTGGTAGGCCATTACTGACTATTTGAATTGCTGATTTAGATGTTATTCAAGATGATTTGGGGAGACACGAGACAGACTTTTTTGATAATCTAGGGATTTTTTTAAGTCTTCTCAAAGATTTAATTCAATGACAGCAATGTTTATTGTTCGGAGTTCAAAAGAGACTGTTCACTTATTACGTTTGCATTTTAGGGGGGGGGGGGGGGGGGGGGGGGGGGGTGAAAAATTGTAACAAATTGTAACATAGGGGGGGGGGGGGGGTGGAAAATTGTAACAAATTGTAACATAGGGGGGGGGGGTCAAGAAGTATGTAACGTTCTAACTGTCGTCTGTCTTTTAAAAAAAATTTGTTTCAAATTCAGACCAAAAAAATGTTTTTAAATTTTCCACCTTTTTAATGATTTATGAATGTCCAGATCACTTTTGATGGCTAAGCAATACATAGTTTTTGTTATATAAAGAACCAATCAATAGAAAACTGGTTTACAAGACTTTAAAATACAATCATAATTTGTGGAAATTTTCAAAATTAAATCAATCATAAGTTTAAAAGTAAATCTCTCTAAATCTGTCATTCATATGATGATTAATATGATCCCATCATTGTGATATTTACATTCAAAGTTTATTGAATTTTCCAAAATTCGATCGGGCATAATATTTTTCATGACATTTTTGAATTTTCTTCAAAAAAAAAACAAATTTTTGTTCAGGGGGGGGGGGGGGGGTATAAAATATTGTAACAAGGGGAGGAGGGGGGGGGGTCGAAAAAAGTCGTTTTTTGCGTCACGTAATATTTCTATGAAGGGGCTAACAACTTTACAAGGAGAAAACATTTAAAAATAGTTGCAAATACAACTTAAATATTAAACGACAGTTGATATATCAACATCTATCGCTGAGACGTGATTAGAAAGATTCCTGAATATTCATTTTTTGAAATTGAATTTCTTTGAATCTTAGAATCAAATTCCTTAAAAAAGACCGCGTTTCATTCCTTTAAAGCAAGCCACAATAAAATCCGGGATTTCTCGAAATTCAATTTCGAGGATTTTCAATCCCGATCCCGATAAATTTCGGGATCCCGGGATTGATCGGGATCGGTAAATCCCGGGAAATCCCGATAGCGAGAAAGCATAAAAATCCCATTCTTTCACACACAAAATCAATTTCCCATCACTAAAGCACTCATTCAACAATCAGACATGCATTGAATAAATTTATTTCCAAATTATAATATTTTCTTTTATTTGGCGTTCCTCATATAAAAGTCAATGGACACAAGAGAATTTTTTTTCGTGTGTAGCTTAAAAACAAAAATTATTTTGTTTGATTGATAAAAAAAATAAATTTGACATTTTTCATTTCCTTAATATTTACTCAAACAGAAAAAGAATACTTTGCCGAATGTGTTGGTTCTAACATGATATAGATTAACAATTGAAAATTAAAATAGGAATAGGGTTTTTGATTATAAAATTTCATAATTAATCACGCGTTACTTTATTGAGAGGTGCAAAAAAGAATGAAAAACTTTCAATTTTTATGGAAATTTATTTAACTTTAAATGAATTTTTACCTCATTTTCGCACCTTGATTCTTGAATAAATTAAGATCATCGAATATCATTTGAATTATACACATTTGGACAATGTAAAACCGCCACAGAAAATCGACGTGACGATATACACAACAAAGAGTAATAAGAGACCCAATAGGACGTACATTCTCACATTTCTCCAAAATAGAGCGCGTGCCAAGCTTCTACTTGTCTGTCTAAATGATACAGCCTGCAATTGAAGAAAGATCAGCGATAAGATTTATGGTAGTTGAAAAACCAAATCAACTTACATTATTGCGCAAATTCTCCGATTTATTGACTAAAAGTTCAAGTCGTTCGCCTCTTGTCGTTATATTCTCAATATTCTTAACCATAATATCCTTAAGTTCATCAATTTGACCATGTACTCTTTGAATGCTATCATATTCACCACTTTCATTGCATTTCTTCATCTCACTAGCCATAATTTTTGCAAATTCTGTATTCATAGCATACGGAAGGGCTGTTGCTGCTGTCAATCCATAAGTTGCTAAGAATTTCTGTTTAATTTCGGAAAGATAAATGAAGGCACGCTGTCTTGGAAACTCATCATCACTGATGCACATATAGATTATTTTATCAGCACAAACGTAGTGGAACAGATAGTTTCCATGTGTATAAGTCATCTTGTGATTCGATAATTGTATTTTCGTGATGAGATTCTCAGTTACTTCCGAAAAGTTTCCAACGCAGTCAGCATATTTACATAAAATTGTATTTCCACGCGATATCACTGTATATAAGAGCGGCATGATGAGGAAATGCGTTTGACAGCTTCTGATAACCTTTTGTGAACCGTTATTTAATCTGAAATGAATTTCGATAATTTAAAATTAGTTTAAGGTCAGAATTGTATGTTTTTGGGAGATAAGTGCAATTAATTGTTCTGCCCGTTATCTCTGGCTGCATGACAAAGCTAGTATGACTCATTCTACATGACATAAAGAATTTTATGATACATTAAACAACTATTTTTCAATTAAAGCCAGTCCATCAAATTATCAATCAGACCATAAACCTCTGTGGAATTCTCAGAATTAATTATGACTCAATTGATGCATAACAGAACTGTGCATCAATAACTGCATATCAAAAAAGAACATTCCGGGATGATAAAAATCGATGACGACGTTATAAATATTAATAGCTGTGCACTTTGTTTCACATTTCTACTCTGCTTGAATAGCCGAAATGGATTAAATTACAGACAGAAACCTTAGGAATTAGAGCTTGGGAGCATAGAACTTACCAACAATAACAAAGAATTTTAGATAAAAATTTATTTTTGTGTTTTTTCGTCTCTGGATCTTTACTGCTGTCTTCTTATGATGCTGTTCCTTAATTATAGTATTATTATTTGCTCAAACACTGCACAAAAGATGGGATATTCGTTTGTAAAATATTTTTTTAATAGTTTTAAATTTTGTTTTTATTTTGTATTGGCTAATCCTACGTTATTTATTATTATGAATATTTTGTATTTTTTTCACGCATCAGAATTTTAACGAAAGATTTTTCGTTAAGTTGGAAAATGCTATTTTAAGCTTTATTTATGCTTATAGCGCAGTAAGGAAACATATGATTGCTTTAACAGGTGGATATTTACTTGATATTAAGCTTTTAAACTTGAATAAACTTTGAATTTTGATGATTTTTGTTTGTATGAAATAACGAGAAATTAGAATTTGAAATTTATGAGGGAAAGCTTTTGCGATTAATATAAATTTTAAATCCTTAGTCAGGCCTTATTTATTGACTCTGACTACGTAGTAATGCTTAATAATTGCAGAAATTAGCCAGAAACTCATTCTTCAACTGCATAAACACCTGTAAATAGCAAGTTTCTTCATCAACAAGTTTGTAAACAAATAATTAACATAGTTGCGAACCCCTTAAAATTGTAAAGTTTTCAAAAATTATAAATTAATTAAGTTTAACTTGATTCAAGTAGTTCAAGTGATCAAAAGTGAAAAAAATCAATTATAATCAACATTTAAGACCAGACTGTGATATTAGCCACAGAAAAATCAGCAAAATAAACAATTATCAAACATCCAGTACAAAAAAACATCCACAAACTCAACAGACATCAAGACAAAATTGAATTATAAGCCATCCATTCAGTACTTTTCCTTGCTACCATTTTCAAACGAAAAGCTTTAAAACTGATCGATAAAAAGAATCATTTAATTTTTACTTTCTTATATTTTCTTTAAAAATTTCCTTTTATGAATTTTACGTCACTAGTCTTCAATCGAATATTGAGCAGAAAGCAGGTTGTTCATTGTATTAAAAAGAATATTATCTTATCGAATTCGTTATTTAAACTTCATACGCGAAAAATGAGCGACAAACCTAAAATAATCTTCGTATTAGGCGCACCGGGTAAGTTAATTAAATTAACTTTATATTCTTTAATTATTCTTATGGATATAAGAGTTTATGGAACTAGTTAAATCGATCTGACATCATCATTTTAAAATCTGGAAGTAAATTTTATAAGGAATTTCCTCAAAATCTCAATATTCTCAAGGACATCCGTCATGGCATTTGAACCTTTATCATTAATTACGTTACTTCATCTCTATTAAGCATAATTATCAAGTGTGACAATCAAGCGCTATTGATTTTTGCCACTTTAAACTAATAATCTTGAACCTCACAATTTAAGTTGATGAAAAAAATAAAAATCAATGCCAGTACTTCCATGAAATATTAAAATTTGCGTACTTACATAACTCCATCTCTCATAAGCCACAATCTACTACTCATTTCAGGTGCTGGAAAAGGTACACAATGTGAGAAAATAGTCGATACTTTTGGATTTAAGCATTTATCAGCTGGTGATTTATTGCGTGAGGAACGAAGCCGTGAAGGATCAGAATTTGGTGCTCTTATTGAGGACTGTATTGTTAATGGAAAAATTGTTCCTGTCGAGATCACTTGCAGTTTGCTTGAAAATGCGATGATTAGAACTAAGAAGGTAAGATGACGAATTAACTGTATGATATGGTAGTAAGGCTTGTAAACTTGCAACAAGAATCAAAAATCAAAGATTCCTACCCTGGATCTTTAAACTTTAAAATCACGACCCTGAAAACATGAAAATTCAGCACCTGTCTTCACGATTTTCTTTATGTCTAGGCCATTTTATATTTCACCGCATTTAATAGATAATTTTAGTTTTTCAACTCAGTTAGACGATGTGGCAAATTGACTTATGAGTCACGTTGTTACAAACACATGCAGTAACAATGAAAAGAAAGTTTCCACGACTAACGATTTTCTTCTTTTGTTTAAAAATATATTTTCTAGGAGACCGGCAACAATAAATTTTTAATCGATGGCTTTCCTCGTAATGAAGACAATCTTCAAGGCTGGCAGCGACAAATGTCAGAAAAAGTTGACTTCCTTTTCGTCTTCTTCCTTGACTGTTCAGAGGATTTGTGTGTTGGACGATGCCTTAAACGTGGACAAGCTGGAAGTGGAAGATCTGATGACAATTTGGATAGTTTGAAGAAGAGATTTAATACTTACATGACCGACACAATGCCAATTATTGAGCACTACCAAAAATTGAATAAGGTACGGAAAATTGACACAAGTCCTGGTCCAGATGAAGTTTTTAAGTCTGTTCAAACTGCATTGCAACAAGCTCATGACGAAAAATTATTTTAAATTAGATCTAATTGTCAATTTAAAAGCCGGACGCAAGTCATTCCATCGCAAAATTCTTATAAATGTGTCGTAAAACAAAATGTTTGTGGAAATTGTCAGTTACTCAGCAACTTCAAAATATCTAATTGTTACTGTTCTGCACCAAAATTGCTGTAATGTATTGTATTGGAACAAATATCCTATATTTTCTAGACTAAATTTAAACAACATGAGTAGCTCAGAATTGTGAGCTTAATTGAATGTTAAGGAACTAATTTGGCATGTTAAATAGGACAAGTTATTTATTGTAAATCATGCTTTAATTGAATTTAATAAAATAATAAATGAAGTTTGTGGGATGTTATGAAGTTTGTTTTAAAATTGAGTTTCACAGGAAATTTGATTGAATAAAGTATTACTACTTTAACTCTAATCTAACATTGCGTATTTAACTCTGTACTGCTCAGTACCAATAAAATCACACGAATTCTAAGTTTCAGACATAATCAATCAGTCGTAAACTTTAATGACGATGATTTCAATTACAGATATCAAAAATCAGTCGCTGATAATCGCAATACAAAATGTAAATATACAAAGAACATCTGATTGATGATGACATGTGTTCTTCGTCCAAGTGCGCATGAGCAGTCTCACTGACAGTCTTCGAGGGAGGATATTCTACGCTCGGCATAAAAAAGTCATTGTAAACAAGCTCATCGCCCTTATTTTAGTGGCAGTCACGAAAGAGAAAAGCAGAAAAAAATTAAAATGTTCATTTTTCGCAGCATTTTATCAGTTTTTGACATCCCATTTGACTTGTAGCTTATCGACTAGTTCCATTAAATCATTTAATACATATTGTGATATAAAATTTGTGCGAATCGAGTGAATAATTATGTGAATACATAACATCCTGTCCAATTGCCATATTTTTTAAACATTTATAATCTTAAGCAACCTTAAACATGGACTATAAGTTTAATTATGTTCATTTGATATGTGCTTTATCAGCAGTAATTATCATGCTTATGTACATATATCCCATTATATTCTACATATTCCTATTCGTACTGTATTCATTCATCTTAGTCGTTTGTGGTGAGTCATCTTTGATGTTTTTATGGACACTCAAATTACTGTTATTAATTTAATTAATTTTTGTGCAGTGCTTTTTGTTCAACAAAATAGAAACAAGTTATCAACAGCGAAGCCCATTCAGGCTTCGACCATCTTGTACAATGCTACACGGTAATTTCTCATATCCCCATTCCATATCTTTTGTCTTCCTCCCGTTTCACAGTTGGGGGTACAGCACATTTTATTGAATTATTTACGTCAAAAAACACAATTTCTTTAACTTCTTTTTATAGCTCTCGTATGTTTGATGTTCCAAAGAGAACGAAAGCTAATTTGCCGGTTATTTTTGGACGTACGATTGACAACCTTATACAGCAGATACTTAGCAATGCACTTGATGAGTTTGTCAACAGTTGGTTGAGGTATAAAAGAATAAATTATTGAAATTTTCGCTACTTGATTAGGTTTTTGAGAGAATTTTGCGGAAATGAGATGGAAATTGGCAGTTAATGGATTGGAATGGCATAAGAAATTGATAAAGGACTGACGGATGAATTTTATAAATTTTATATTACACAGAAAGCTGTGATGAATGTTGATGAGTTTTCAAGTACATTGAATATTCCGGGAAACATTTTGATGGAGTCTGTTTGGGGGTGTTGTGGATGTTTTTTTATGTGACTGATTTGTATTCTGGCATAATATTATGATAACAAAGCTGTGTTGGTTCTGAATTGACTGTTAATTGATATAATTTAAACACATGCTATTAATTGGTATAAATCATACGCTTTGACTCTTTTCGAGCATATTCCCGTACATTATCCTGTGCATGGTCCCTTCAGGGTATATCTACGTCTTTCTAATGCCTTTACAACAGCCACCATGAAAGTTTCAAATCGATTATATCCGTAAACAGCTGCACAATACTAAGGATTAACATTTCCATTAACACAGCTTTGATAAAAATCCACAAAAATGCGCCAAATCTCATTTTCTTTTCTTCGCAAATTCAATGTTCCTCTTATTTTCCTACACTTGACCTTGACTCTTTTAACATTTTCATACATCTTTTATTATTAATATTTTCAGCAAAGTCGTTCACGACGAAAAGGAATTAGTTGAAATATTCCGAGAAGACTTATGGATTGCGGGACAAAAGCTTGTCGACCGACTGCGAAAAATCGATGCACCAAAAATTCTTGCAGTTGATTTTGTCACGAAAGTCACGCTACATTTGGAGAAAACAAGAATGATAAAGGAAAATAGTGAGACGACCTTTAAAATGTCTACGTATTTAGTTACGGACGAGAAGGAAATGGAATTTTTGAAGAAAATTAGCGAGATTGTCGTTATTTTACTCCTTCCGCGTGGATACTCAATAGCACCATTAAAGAATCTTTTGTGTGAAATTATTGCATTTAAAGGATTTTATTCAACAATTAAAATCATCACCAACCCTGATTATATCAATCAAAGAGTTGTCGAAGGTATTCAAACAAAATTAGCATCAATAGCTATGAGCAGAAGAAGCTACGAATATGCTAGTAGCTTTCAAGATTTCCTCAAGATCATCAACAACTCAACAAGTATTGAAGAATTGCTTCAAATGCGATCGTCAGTCATCAACGACCTTATGCAAGCCACAACAACACAAAATCTTCAAAGAGCTAAAGGAATTGACCTTGAATCGGGATCAACATCAAGTCTTAAACGCTCAGACATCAATGCAGCTTTGAAATTAAAGAAGTATATTAAACAATTGTCTTATGCTAAGTCACAGTGCGAGAAAACTTTGGGTAAACTCGGATGGGTCGGAAATTGTTCGAATGATTTGAATCTATCACTTCAAGATGTTTTGTCGACGATATTGGGTCGAAAGTACTTTACAAAATTCCTAGACTCACTTAGTGCAGGGAATTTAGTAGGTTTCTATACATCCGTTGAGGAACTAAAGATAGCATCACGTGGAAACATTCATCAAGTAGGTGCTGAAATTTTCTATGCTTACATTCGTCCAAATTTTGAAATTAAGTTAGACAAAATGGATCAAAAGAAATTGGAAGGATTCCTACGTGGTGATGACACTGATCATGAAGTATTTTTTGACATCCAAAAGAATGTGTTCAAGCTCCTCCAAGACAAATATTATCAGTCATTTATCATGAGTGAAGAATACAAGAAAATGAAAAATTCTATAGCAACAGAAGATGTGTCGAGTATATCCAACAATTCAATTATAAAAACAAATTTTGACACCAATCCCAATGAGGAAACTCAAGAGGAATATGACACAGAAATGGATCTGACAAACCACTCAACATATGCCAAAAATAAATTAGAACAGATGCACGAGCGTCTTAAAACAAAGAAAAGTGCTTTGGAAGCTTTAAAGTCAGCTGTCAAGCCTGACTCACAAGTCTTAGCTATTTTAGAGAAAGATATTGAAAATTTAAAAAATGAAAAACGACAACTTGAGAGTCATCTCCTCCGTACAGAAACGTGGAGTGCTAATATTGGTAAATGGCGCGCAACAGTCGAGAGTGTCGAAATCCCTGAAGATAAAGACACACCGGAATTTTTAATTGTCGTACAAACAGATGAAATTGTTGAAGCCAAAGAAGAAGATAATTATGAGAATGATGAGAATATATCAACAGGTTGGGTTGTGCTTAGAACTTTAGATGATTTTCATGAGCTGCATAAACAAATGCGACCGCTTTGCACTGAATTGAAGAGCTTAGATTTACCATCAAATAATACATTCATATTGTTTTTTGGTAAAAATGACAAGGGATCATTGGAGAAAGCCAAATCACAAATACAGAGATACCTTAATGTGAGTAGAAATTGATTATTATTAATCGGATATGTTACTTGATGTGCTTGATGATTGAAAATTGCATTGTTTTACACTTCAATGAATAGACAATGTCTGTACAAAATTGAAATTGACAGCATTATCTTGTCGACCAGTTGGTGGTCAGTAGTCAATACGACATTGGCAATAGGTGTGAGTTCATGTCAGTTAATGCTATTACCCCTTGCTGTGTGCATCATGAATTATTTATGATGTCAAAAGTTATTAGTATCAACTGTTCATGAAGCCTTTTTTAAGGCATTTAGACATAATCTTGTTATATTTTGACGTAGTTCTTATATTAAGCTTGTTTAATCCTTAAATGTAATTTTATTTCCCTTTTACAGTTTGTAATGGATAATTCAAAACTAGTTGAATCAGAATTTCTCTTTGCCTTCTTAAGTCCATCATGCGATAAACTGAAAACAATTCATCCATCACCCAAAAAAGCTCGCTTCTTCTCACTAGCCACACTTTTTAAAAGTAGTTCAAGTAGTACATCTAGTACTGATCAATTGTGGGGTACACGTGATAATAATGATGAGGACGAGGACTTGTTGCTTGTATCAGATGCAAATGAAAATGGAATAGAGCCAGTAAAAGATAATAATAAAGCTACACATTTTGAGGATTTAAAAGATTCAATTGCCGAGCCAATTTATCATTTATTAAGTGAAATTTTTGATCTTACTGGTCCATTTAAATTTCTTAGAAAATCATTGATTTCATTTGTACAATTAACTTACGGTGGAACTATAAATCGGCAACTACGGGACTTAATCTCAAGCTATTTTGATGAAGCAAGCTTGCATCAATATGCGTCGACATGCTTAAAGACTTTTTGGCCTTCGGATGATGAAGTGATAAAAAATATTCCTGAGAGAACTGATGATATGAAAGAGATGACAGCACATGCTGCTCGTTCATTAATTATTGATAATATTCCGGATATTTTATGTTCATTGGTTGGACAGCAGAATGCTAAAAATGGATCGCTGAAAATATTTGATGTCTTGCAGAGTGAAAAATACAATAAGCAGTTGATTTATGATTTACTTGAGGTTTTATTGGTTGAAATATTTCCAGAAATTAAAAGTATTCCAAGTCCAAAGTAATTGTTTTTAAGAATCAAAATCATTTTTTAAATTTAGTGAAACAATTGCTGCTTCAGCTGACACCAAATCTAGTCTCACAAAGATTCAAACTATGTATCTCATTCATGGAAGGTTCAGAGTTGTTTAAAACACCAAGTCCCAGCAACCTCGTTGAGTATAAACCCGCATCTAACATAGCTGAAGCAATAATTGAGCTACTAAAATTATTGACTAATTTTAAGACATATCTAGTCATACTTTACAACACATTATACATAAATTATTTTATGGCAAACATAATTTTATGAATGTAACAACACAGAGCATGCATTTGGTATATTATTACATATACATATACAATTATTGGTGTGCAAAAAGATTTAATAATAAAGAGATGATAATTAATTGAAAGAATACAAAAAATTAAGTTTTGGAAATTTGTTTTCAAAAAGAAATCACTGTCTTTATATAACAAATCATTTTTAGAACTGTAAAGGATTTGAACCTATATCCTTTATGTGTTTAATTATCGAAAGCTATATTTTAAATAATTTTAAGTATAAACATTTATTGCAAAATGTTCAATTTCATTCAATTTATTGAAGGTTTTTAAATTTCACTCATTAAAGCTAATAAATAAATAAGTTAAACATAATTAAGCTCAATTCTAATAGATTGCAATTATTCTATATTGCCAATATTTAACTTTGCATAAATTCTTTATAAATAAATTATGATTTTTCTTAAGTTTTTACATAAATTCTATTGAACCATTCGACAATCATGGCTGTCAGACACCTCACGACATCTTCATTTCATTCATTTTTACTCGACTTTCTCTTCGAATGTTTTTGAAACATTGCCGTTCAAAATATGAATGCTTCCATTTCCATTCATTGTTTGGTTTGAACTCACTGCACATTTATTTACCGGCAACTTTGGCTTTTTGTAGCCGAATGCAATGTTTTTCAAGTTTATTACCGGCATTTCTATTATGAGTGTTGTGGCTACAGTGATGAGGCAAATGACGAAAATTTCATTCAGATTCAGCTGTTTAGGAATAGAAATAAATTAAAAATAGTCACTTATGAACAAGAAAGGTTTGAGAATTCAGAATTGATTCTTGTGGCTGTGAACTAAATGTGGTTACTTTTGACAATGAGAAACAACAAAGTTTTGCGTGGTATCACTCATCATATTTGGTAAACAATAAACCAAAAGACACAAAACCTCAAATCACTTTCTAATTTTGCTTCTTCCTTTCTTGTGTAGTCAAATTTGGTATTTGTTCCGTTATTTCTAAACATTACTGCTTGAACTTTTCAATTCTCATTGTTTTGAATCCATTTATCAAAATAAGTAATGAATAAATTCTTAACAGCATGAAGAAGAACATGCTATGAATGGAACCATACGAGATAATTTTGTATTTTTGGAATATAAACAATTTTATTAACTGTTAATCAATTTTGAGATAATCTTTGGTGTAGAATCTTTTGGACTTAGAAGTTGGAAAGTTGAAAAACTTTTACTAACCATTGAAAATCCATTCAAGAATCGAACATCACGTCTATTTGCAATCTGCACTTGAAACACAGGAATTTGAACCAAATAAAATGCATAACATAACTTTGTTGTGACTGTAAAGCCTTTCCACTGCAGGAAATCTATGAGCATATCTAAAAATAAAAAAGATAACCATTTCATAATTTATTTGAAAAGTTCAAACATCTTTTACGTCGTTTACTTTATAGGCTTACAATGAAATTTATTATGTAATCTTTTTTCGTTTAATAATGTAAATTATGTACATAAAAAAGTATTTTTTAAAAGCGTAGTTATGATTGGGACGCGTTTACATTAACTTTTAGAATTATCACAGCATTAATTAATTGACTTGTTAAAATGTTGATTTAATTTTATAGTAAGAATCTTTTTACATACATAGGTTCTTGTAATAATTTGTAAATTAAGAAGAAGATATGAAGTTTGGAAGTTAATTGTTTTGACTTTTGAATAGAAATAAAATGAACAATTAAGAACTCAACATCCCATAAAATATAAACTTTACTCACTTCTATATCCATTTTGAGATGCAAAGATTAACCATGAAACTGGAACACAAACTAAAATTGGCGCGAAAGCAGCATAAAGAGCATGAAGTCCTCTATCATATTCCACATCCAATCCTGTCATTCTTACGCAAGCTTTATAAATTATCGTTGTAGAAATCGCACTTATTACATTTCCTAGCATAATTTGATACTTTTTAAGCTTCACATATTTCAATTTTCTTAATATAAATCCTAACAATAATCCCATTCCATAGACTGTGAACCGATGTGTTGGTAAAGTGTATAAATAATTTGCTGTATCAATCAATGTCGACAGGTTGGCAGAGAATGGAACAAAGTAATACAAATTGTGACTATAATTTGCATAAAATCTCAAAAATGTTGAAATAATTGTGAGAAAGACCACAAAACTAATTCCTTTCCTCGGCGACTTTTGCATCAACATCAATAAAAGCGGACTGAATAGAAAAAGTTCAAAATCAGTTCCGATATGATGCGTGTGTAAGTTGCACATCTCCTCAAATTTAAACCAATTTTGTATCATGAGTAAATTCCTCCATCCATAATTTATACAAAGCTCGGCTGGCTTGTCAACAACAGACATTCGATGTGTTGTTCTATACGAGATTATTGGCAAAATATAAGCCGTTGTCAGCATAACAACAATAATGTTTGGAACAATCCTCAAATATCGCGATATATATTCTCGGACAACGTTGACTCGCTGTTGACGCATTAATCTATTTGTTATTGAATACGCGACAAGAACACCGCTCAGCATGAGGAACACATCTGTGTACAGTGCACAGATTCTCACAATTATTGATGACGATTCTGATGACTTTAATGCAATTTTTGTTCGATTTACAATTGGCACCAAGCTGTCTACCGTCTTATGACACAAAAATATTAATATAGCAGTCACAAATTTGATTCCATGAATGACCTTAACATCATCATCCGATCGGTCAGCTGAGACTAAACTTTTATAGTTTCTTGATATTGAGTAAGCATGTAACCATTGATCTGAAAGACAATTTTAAATTTGTGTTATTTTGGCTGTTTCGAAAGGTTTAATCAATGAGATTTAATAACAATACTTTTGTCCTTCGAATTAACATCTTGATATGTTGAGAATATGGATATCATAAAAATGATGAGGAAGACGGCACTGAAAAGATATTATAATAAAAAGTTTTAAAAGCTCAAAAGTTGTAAATGTAGAATTGTCAAGATGAAGTCTAAAGTTGCTTTATAAAATCCTAAGTTTTAATATTGATCGTTCATTTACATACTATCCTGACCCACATTTACTAATTCCCTTCCAAAAATTCACAATCACAATCTCAATTAATTAAAGGCATTCACTTACATGGTAATTTTCGTTCCATTGTTCATCCTAAAGTGATGCGATTTGTCATCAGCCTCATGACACATCTCCTTTGTAACTTGAATATCAAAGTGTAAACCAGTATTTTTCGTAAAATCAGTCAAGAATGTTTTTGCCGCTATCATTACATCTTCGTGCGTGCATGAAGAAGGAACACAAATTCCGTAAACAATTGATGAAAAATGAGCGAAAATGTGAGAAGGCTTTAAAAATGGAAAGAATTATTTTTGGTAATTTAAGCTTCATAAAAAATAAAATTTCTTACATCGGTTATTTTTGACTTGATAATCTCAAATGATTGAACGAGTTCACGTATATAATTGAGATATTCAGCTGATCCGTTCACATGTGGCTGCATCTCAATATAGCAATGTTTACCATTTATTCTCAATTTCTCATTGTGGACACTCAAACATTCTTCATAATCACCAAAACTGTTTGCATTTCCTCTTAATATGCCAGTAGAGAAATGTCCACTAGCATCATACACTGTAATGTAGATGACATGCTATTTATAGACATCAACAATGAAAAATAAATATATCCGAAAAACTCACTCTGAAGTGCCCACAAGTCAAACGATGTCAACGAGTGCAAATAGTGCGCGTAGTCTCGTCGACAGTTATATGACACTTCATCGTATTGCGAAATGTTTAATGGATTCTTGTGGGTAAATAGGCGAGATGCGAGGTTGATTATGAATTCTGGAATTTTAAAATGAAAATAAAGGAAATTTTTTATAAGATTGTTTGAAAAATTTGGCATAGATTTTTATTGAGGAGGTTTAAGCTATTATTTCTTGTGATTAGCAATGGTGCTGGTTGGAGCCTCTGCCCAAAAAAAAATAAAATGTGCAGACCCCATCGAACTCTTTAAAACAAACATTTCTAGTCAAATATAAGTAAAGTAACGCTTTAATCACATCACATCGCTTAAATACTTCCAGTTCAAACTAAAGACAGTAACAACAATCATGACAAACAATACCGAAGGCACTCAATAGCTATTTCATAAAACCTACCCCTCTCAACTCTGCCATATGGCACTTATAAAGTTTTTTTTTCATTATCTTCATTCATAATTTACTAACAAATATTTGAATAGCTAGAATTGGTGATGAGGACATTTAAGTGGTAGAAACGTAAAAAAAATGAACAATTAAAGCTGTAAAGAAGCTAAGTAAATATCATGTGTAGATCACCATATTGTTTTATAAAATACATCATTCTCCTTCAGATTCAAGTCAAGACAATGGATGGACATTTGAGATTTTAGATTTATTGAATTTAAACTAGTTTAATGCGGCAGACTCTTTAGACTTCTCCGAATTCTAAACAATTGTTAAAATCCACAATATAAATTTAAAATATTATTAATAATCTTGAAGAACTCAAAAGTGTCCACAGCTTGTTCAAACTATTTATTTTTTTGTAAAAACTAAAATAAGAATTATCAAATGATGATTGTTGAAAGCTCTTAAAATGATGGATGTGATTTTACTGTTTAGAATGGCAAAGATTAATTCTGTGTCACGAGATTTTTATCATTTCAATAAATTAAATCCTGCTTTGACTTAGTCCTTCAAATTTGTTTTACGAGTTTGCTGATATTCTTATTTTAACTCCTTTGAAAATCCAAGAAATAATGAAATTTTAAGTTCAAACAACAAAAACTTTAAATGAATAAAATTGAAATTAAACTATTCATTTATTTCCTGTCGAAAAATTTCAAAAAAATCAATATTTTTTGCTTCAAAATTTCACTAATCACAAATTCAATTTAAATTCATAAATTATTCCAGCGAAATTGCCTTAAAATTCATAAATAACGTTATTAACCTTTATCACTATCACTCTTTTCAGGAGCCTCAATTCTTAACGTTATTGAGCTTTTGATTCCGTTAAATAAACACAAAATTATCCACAAATTAATCATTATTTCGCACTATGCAAAACTTTTTTCACTTTTTCCTGTTTCACGATTTTCTTCTTCTATTTTTTAAAAAAACAAAAGAAATTGAAATTTTTGTCTTCCTTATTTTTTTTTTAAATAAAATTTCGCACGACTCGATTTCATTAGGTGATTACACGTTGATGATTTACAGCACACTGGTCACATATGATCAACGCAATCATCTTTACTGCTCTCTCATTATTCGAGTGTTTTTTTTTGTACTTCTCTCTTGATTTGCTTTTCTTACCAAAAAATAAATTTACTATCGTAGTAAATAATTGTTTAAGAAATTCGATAGAGGTTGGAATGGTTTGAACGCATTAGCAGGACTTGATAATATTGTATAGGATCTCAAAAACTGAAACCAAATTGTATAGTCAAAGCAGAGTTGAATCTAGAACATTGAATCATATTTTCTGAATCGACCAGTTCTTAACTTCAATAATTTTCCAAGAAATCAGAAACCTGCGATTCCAGCAATAAACTTAATCCTCATTCAGGTCAAAATGCCGACTCTATCATCCTAAAAACAATGTTTAATATTGGTGTTGTAATATTTTTGGACGTATATTTTTCAGTACAACGCATTTTAATATCTCAATTCGATGAATAAGTTCAAGTGAAATAAAAATGAATGAAAAAAGCCCGGCTTAGTCATGAATGCAATTGAAAAAAGATTTACAATCCTACAACAAAAAATGAAAATAAAAGTTTTTTTTAAAAGGTGGTAAAGAGTTCGGATCATGACACAAAGTAGATGTGTTGATGTTGAAGAGTTTGTGCTTTAGGAAAGAGTTGATACCTTCGTCATCAATCATGACGAAATGTCTTCAGAAGCGGTTTGTTAAAGTTAAGTAAATTAATTGGTATTTAACTTTTGACATGGTGAGAAAGAGAGAGAAGTTTTGGAAACAGGAGATTTAAGTTAAGAGTTGGAAGAAAATTTCTTGAAAATTTTACAAATTTTTTTTATTTTTAAACTGAAAATTCTCTCCATAAACAACTTTACAATAACCATTTCTCATCCACGAAATGCATCAACACCTCGACACGACTGACATGAACTTTAAGTGCCAAAATATACAATTCACATTTTACTTCATAGATAGGAAATTCGTATAACAACATCTCGTCTTCTTATTCAATAATATTATTGAGCATTATTGTTGTTACTTCCCAAAACTGTGTATTGTGAATCAAGCGAAGATATATAAAGAAGCAGAAGAGAGAAGAGATGATTTTGAAAAGAAATTAATTTTACTTTTTTTAGAAATTATATTTTTGTGACTAGGTGTTGGTTTCGTTGGGTTTTATACTCATAATTTGACCTTTTCACCACTTCAACAATCGGGATGCACCCTCTCACTCGACTGCAGATTGTTCAATTTGATATTTTATTTAAATGAGAGAACAAAGTGAAAACTTGCATCAAAGTTTTGATTATTTCGAGATTTTCTCGATCAAAATCCACACAATATTTGTATTCATTCCCTTGATCAATATCTGCCTGCTTTATTGATGTATAAATCAGTTCTGATAAGACAAATCTTTGGAAATATTCAAAGTAAGATTCACATTTGATTAAGTTCAATGACCAACTCCAACTTAATCTTCAAGACAACTTTAATACAGAAAACAAACCAATAACCCAAAATTATAAATCTCACAATCAAAAACAACCGAAAATGAAATAATGAATAAAGAGAGTTAATTCATAAGCCCATTCCGTAGGGTTTAATGAGATTACGTTATCCATATGTGAATAATTTTTTCGAAGATGCTTCACACACAAATCATGAATGTAGCTTTTTTTTTCATCACTGACCATTCTCAATAGTTCACTTGTAGCGTAAAATATTACATAATTCATCATCATTATGATTATAGACAATTAACAAATGTTCGCATCTGTTTAAATTTCGATCAACAAAAATAAATCAAATATTTGAAGACTTTATATGTTGAATAGTTCATTAATAGCTCAAACTATAGTTCAATTGATTTTTTTAAAGATGACACAATACTCGGAAGTAAAAATTTCGAATGAATATGAAATTTGATAAAGTGAAAGTTTAAATTGAAATTTAATATGAGACTTTAGTTGTTAAATTTTTTTTGGCAAGTTAACAGCAAGAATTGTGACATTGTATCCATCATGTGTATTGTTTATGAATGCTTGGACGTGACAAAATGCTACTGAGTAAAAAGTTTAAATTTGTTTTAAAAAAAATAATCGTAGGTTTATTAAATAATGACATTCAAGTCCAAAAACAATGATCTTAAAGATTTCTAAAAAAATTACCAAGTTAAAAACCAAAAAAATTGAAACATCCAAATCATTCAAAATTATAAATTGATATAACTCCAAAGGATCATTAAGAAAGATTGTCTTTTATCAAAGAATTAACAGTTTTTGAATTTTTAAATTGCCTTTAACATGCTGGATTCAAAATTTAATCCCGACTTAGAAGTACTTTATCATTGCATTCAATAGATGTCGCTAGTTTTTTGAAATTTTTGTTACGGTTATTTCTTTAGATTCTGTTGAAGATGTTGTGATTACGTGAATATGCTTTCCTAATCTGAATTAAAAATGAAGTTTTTTGAGATTTCTCATAAATTTTATTTATTACCTTAAAGTCATTCAATTCGAAATTTGGTCATTTAAAAGTCATAATGCTTTAGAAATACCTCGACAATCATGTAAGCAATCAATCAATAATCTTTAATAATTTGTCCATGCATATTAATTATCTTGTTATCAATCTCAAGCCTACAATGTCTATATTAACAAAATTCAACAGACAATGTGATATTGTGCAAATCATCTTACAGCAAATCCTATTAATTTGTGTACACATATTAAGCAATTAATTATGAGCCCATAAAAAAATAATTAATAGCAAAAGTTTTCTTACAAAAATATTGAAAAATTTATGGCTTAAGTTGATATTCATGCCTGTCTCAATTTTCACTTTTTTACAACCTCATCTTTAATCTTGAATGTTGTTTAATTTTGTAAAACGACAAAAAAAAAGTTTTTCACACTTAAATATTTATTTTTCGCTACCAACGCAATGCCATGCGACGCCTATCAATTATCACATAAAAACCACCAAAGAGTTTTCTTTTTTCCTCTCGTTCTTGTTTTATTCATTCGAGCGCTAACGACAGTTGATCAAGTGTGAAAGAAGGAAACAAAAGTGTGCAAATCTTAGCGGATTTTTTGTGAGTGAGATTTGAATTGAATGCAGGATGTCTTGGTGGGTGCTGTGAAAACTTTTGATGATTGAAAGAAATCCTTAATTTTGAAAAATTCCTCCAAAAAAACAATTCTGTTCAATTTTAAAGACTTGCGACTGAAATCAGACCAACTCGACTACTTTTTTTTAAATATACTGAAATGCGTCTTCATTCTTCAATTATGCCGCAACTTTTCAGCTCACAGTTATATTCTCATCATGATGACATTAAATTTTTGTATCTTAATTCTTCTCCTTTACTCGTAATTTTCTCTTTATTTCTTGTTTAAAAAGATTGAATTAACCTCAACCTCATAAAATTGTTTCACAAAAGATTCTTTTGTGGGAGAATAAATGCGAAAATTCAAGTATTTAGCGGTGTTTAAGCGTTTTTTGTGAAAAGTGAATTTTCAAAAGTTAATTGAAATTTCATAAATTGATGACTTTAATTTTAGGTTAACGAGAAGTATTAATAAATTATGATTAAAACAATTGATGATGTTCTATAAATTTTACCAATAATAATTCGATTATCATCTGTAGAAACAATAAGAATGATTGAATTCATCCAAAATTATAAATATCACCGCATAATTAATTCACACAAATCAAAAAATTCATTAATTAAAATTATTTTGTTATAAAATCGGATCAGAAAGTCAGCAGACTGAAAATCCTCATTAAAATATTTTAATTAAACATTTTATCAGGTAAAATGTTAAATCAGTTTTCTATTGTTCTCATTTACATACATTCATGACAGTTGTTCCTTACACAGAAATAAGTAAATTCAATCAGAGTTGAAAAATCAACAGGATTTGAGAAAGTTCCAAAATTATGTCTTTCTAAAATTTTGAATTAGATGTTGAAACCCCAGAACTGCTCATAAATACAGTATAATATATTTATCTTATTTCCAAAATTTATAGAAAATTTCTCCAAAAACTGACTTCAAAGACTGACTTTAAGCATTTAAAATTCTGTGTAAACTTTTCTGCTTCAGATCTGTCTGACATAAAAGAATTAAAATACATCCTTTAAAGTATTCATGTAGAGTCAGACGAACAGATGTACATACAGATTAAAAACTATTCACAATTGTTGCTATTTTTTGTTTCTCCAATCCTGTAAAGCTCTGTCTGAAAAAAAAAGTTTAACAATTTATTTTTATTCATCATTGGCAACGAGTTCGAGAGTGAAGCAACAGTTAAAAGAGAAAATTGGTTTTTCATTAAATATTTTATTGAATCTACATAATCGACTTACAATGTAAGATATATAGATCTCACTCTGTGACGTGTAACCGACCCATTAATGCCTATAATGAAAAATTAATGAATTTTTTTTATGTCGGTGGAAAGCAGCCACTGTGGATATAATATAAACAGAAGTGAGCGGAAGCAAAGTGCTCAATGGAAATGGAAGGAATTAAAGAGAAAATATTGTTTTGGAAGCGAGACACGTTGTTTGGCTTATTGAGCTTAAATAATTGAAAATTGATAATCAATCACAACGACTGGATAATAGCAACAATAAAAAAGCAACGATTTCGATTCCAAATTGGAATTATTTTTTAGGACTTATAGTTATCATGGAAGTCATTCGAGTATTAGAAAAGCTGTGGGGCAATGCAAATTTTCTAGGGTTATGCAAACAAATGTTTCAAATTTCACATTACAGGTTGTACTTAAATTTTGCAAAAACGAAACACCTCGTGCTTAACGACTCACCATAGCTATTACAATCATGTTACATGACCAAATCCAAAATTCAATGTACATAAGCAAGGTAAATTACACACAAAAACATCCCGAACAATACGCAAAAAGACATAAAATGTGAATCGAAATGAAAAGAGATAGGAGATGGAAGCGTAAAG